GGCATAGGGCTGTGATTTAAATACATTCGTTTCTATGTTGAATCGATCACGTAGTATACGATATAGAAATAGTAAAGAAATCAGATGACTTCTAAAATACGAGACACGAGAAAACATTGCATGTCAGATTCCGTTCGATGATTGAAACATTCATAGTGCTTTCCTTTAAATTAATATGTTATTAGATAATGAGTCAACTACATTGTGTCTAGTACTACACAATCATACGATTCAAAGAAGTTCTTGAACAACACTCTTTTTATCTCTTTATAAACAAATTTCCTTAATTTATTAAAATTACTAAGACCAAAACAGTGAATCATAACCACGATCATATATTCAAATTTAACAGTACTTCCTTTTCTCTCTCATTATTTTTCCAATTCCTAGTTTTTTGGAGTATGTTTCTCGGAAAGGAACACCATTCGCGCCACTTTCAATTGCAATCTAAAGTATACCATTACTCTCTCTCTAAATTATATAGCGGGAAGAAAGGTAAGAGAAACGTTTTCCTTAGGCAAAGATATTCATATATTGAGATATTTCTACAAAGTTATCCGATGTATCGTCGTAGTGCGTTATTCCGATTTCCTTCCATGATATTAATCATCCAAACGATGATGGAGCTTGGCGATATTCGGTAAATGAATTTCATTATGCCGATCAAAACTGAGTGTTGCAGAAATCCGGTGGTCACGTTTTCCTTGCCTACAGTTCTGATCGCGCTCTGAACGTACTTTTCAGGTGTTGGCACCATCCATCCAGATCGCGGCGACTCGGTCGTGTGATTGGTCACTGTGCCTGGTAATAAACACTGCACGATTACACCGTGTTTCCCGTATTCTATCTGCAGGTCTCTACTGAACTTCACGACGTACGCCTTTGTCGCAGCGAACACTGTTAATAAAGGGCTGGGCAACACAGCAACCATTGAGGCTACGTTCACTATTAATCCCTTTCCTCTGACGACCATTTGAGGTAACAGGATACGGCACATATTCGTTACAACGACTACGTTACAATGAATGATACTCATGTAAATCTTTTCTTTGTGAGGCAGATCCAGAAAGTATTCCGGATGCGGGTACGACATGCCGAGATTATTTACCAACACGCCGATCTCTAGGCCGAACGTCTCTTTCTCGATCACGTTGTACGTCTCCAGACCCTCCGACAGATCCAGCTTAATTACTTTGGTCTTCACGTTGTACATCGCCTCGATATTGCTCGCGATAGCCTTCAAATTCTCCGTGTCCGGGCTGATCAGGATCACGTTCAATCCGATCCTCGCCAATGCCTCCGCATATGCTCTTCCAATCCCGTGTGAACATCCTGTGACCACTGCCCACTTACCCATCGAACATAAATCGACTACGGACATGGAGAAGAAATTCTTGTATACTCGGTATATTACGTCACGGGAGAATCTATAACCGCAATATATGATCGCTGCGTAACCTATTTTCTCGACCAACATAATTCACGGTTGCATCACACGATATTTGATTTAGTTTCTGATTAATGTCATGTTCCACGTAATTCGCCACTTTTTTTAGGTGGGAAACCAGGGAAAGGAGTTTGTCGTGTCAACGCGGGCGAAGCGGTGACACATTGCGAGAGCCTGAAACAGAGTCGAAACGAAGTCGGCGGAATTTGAAGAAAAAAAAAAAAAAAAAAAAA